TCCAACTTTCATAGGCCTGAGGCTTCCCATGATGACACACGTGAGCTTCTGAAGCCACACTCGGGACACTTTGCTTCTTGGCATGGAGCATCTGGTAGAGACTGTAACTCTTTACAGGAGTAGAAAGCCCATCTTACTCCCAAGGAGAAGCTGGTGGTTTCAAACTGCATACCTAGGGTGTCAGAGGAAACCAGCCTCCAACAGCCGAAGATGCCATTGTACAGCGATAAAATATTAAGATTATAGTGCAGTTGTAGAGGATAGGAAAGATAGGAGAAAGAATAAAATCAAAGAGTCAGACACATTTTATGATAGCATGCTCACCTCAGCCACTCTTGATGGTCCATGTGGAACTGGGAGATGAGAGAGCGAGCCTTTACTTACTGGGACATTTATAGGTAGCCTAAGACATGAATATTCCGTAGTTACATGCATCACAAGGTGGGGGGTATACATTAGGTCCCCGAGCTCACAGGTGAGGAAACTTAATACCTGCATTGGGGGAAGGTCTGAGGGGGGGTTGGGTGACACGGAGGGGAGAGAAAACAAAAGGGTAATGTCTGCTTCTGTAGGGAGACAGAATCACCCATGAGCTCACTTTAAGGCAGCATAGCTGTTAGGGGAGAATCTGTGGGAGTGATCGTCAAAGCAGGATAATGTACTTGGACTTTAACTTACCAAAGCGGTGGCTTTCCTGCCCTGGAACACTAGCTCTCCAGGTTTCCTCTGTCATAAGTCAGGGATAGAGTCCTGGTCCTATCTCCCTCCGTGCTGGTTCCCACGCTTGGGTGTAGCAGCCCAATGCATGACCACTGCACTAGCAGGGCTCCCTATGGTATTGAGAGAAGGTGCTAATATGTCTCTGAATTGGGATATGTGTGTTACTATTAGCGTTCTTGTATCTTATTGGGCTTGAGGGGCTGATGTCTGGCTACCCCAGACCTGTAAAGCTTGCTTTAAATCTGCTTCCTCCCATCCCTTTTCTTTCTGAGACGACTTCAGTACTGTGGGTTCGTCCCCATATAAGGGCCTGTCTGGGGAAGTTGTTCAGTATTGTGACTCCCCCACCTTCTCTCACCCGCCCTCTGTCAGAGCATTTTTAGAAATAGTGGTTTCCCCCAGCTGTCAGCTGGCTGGTCTTGCTGCCAATGATTTTGGCTTTCTCCCCAGCAGCAAGTCAATGGGGGAATACATTCAATTCCTTCAGAAGTGTCCTCTTAGTCAATAAAATGCTACTATATTGAATTCCACTATCTTCCTCCTCTCCCCTCCTCCACCCTATCCCAAAAGTTCACACCAATGAGATACAGATTTTTTTCCCTCACTGTCAATCTGATATTTGGCAGGGGGGGTGGGGGTGGGGGACACTACTGTAATACTGTGTACACATTCAAGAAGTGGGCCTAGAGAAAGAGTAGAGGTGTCCACGAGTAGTCGTCCTTTCTCAAACTCTCCCTAGACACTGTGGCTCTCTCCCCACGGCCACAGAAACAGTGGTTGGACTAAAGCCCAGGTTTCCTCTGCCCCCAACCACAGAAGCAGAGACGCTCAGGGATAGAAGTGTAGGGGATTGGCCCAATTCAGTTGTTGCTTCAACCTCCTCTCCCACTGCAAGCACACCCACTCACAGCACTTGCCCTCCCGTAAGACTCTGCTTGAGCCTCTCCTTCAGCCGTTACTGGTCCTTCTCTTTGAGACGCTCATTGTCTCCTCCTTCCTTCTCTCACACCAGATTCTGGACGTGTCTCCATCGTGCCTCCTCCTTCATTCCTGCTATTCCTATTTCTGCTTCCAGCTCGGGACTTGAGGGCAGTACGGGGGCACCCTGGGGGAACAGAACCCATCCTGACACTTGTGGGGGTGGGGGTTGCATCCTCCATCTGGTTGGACTCCTGGCCTCAAGATGTTAGGTAGAGCCTATAGCTAGGTCTGAGAAGGCTAGTCTTGGGGAGTCCACTCCAGAAAGAGGGTCAGCCTTGCCTGGGGTTGAGATGTCCATTACATCTCCTTGAGGAGCTAGCTGCTCTCTCAACCTCCTCTCACAATGCGCCTTCCCACCTGTCAGGGTAAACCAGCCCCTGATAATATCACGGGTCTGCTGGCCCACCTGTATGGTGGTAATACAAAAAGATTACAGTACTCTCATAGAGAATAGGAGAGAAAGGAGACAGAGTGAAATGAAGGAGTCAGACACATTTCATGGTAACATGCTCACCTCAGCCCCTCTTGGTCCATGTGGGGTGGAAGACGAGAGGAGGGGGCCGAGGAGAGAGAGCTTTATTTCTAACCAAGGCTCATATATACTTGGGGGCATGCAAACCCCTTGATTACAGGTAACCACACACATCACAGGAAGGGACTGTACCATAGGCAATACAGCAATGGGAGGGGGACGATCCAGGGGCGTACACGCTACAGGAAGAAGAGGGATTAGGGGTACACATGTGGCAAGATGGGCGGATCCTAGATTCAGGATGGCACCCTAACCTTGGATGTCACTGAGCTGCTTTGACCTGTCCTGAGTTCTCCAGGGAAACAATCACTATCCTTATCAGTAGGGTGTGAGCCCGACCTACAGTGGACCAGACAGTAGTCTGATTGCTCTGGATGGCTGAATGACTTCAGGGAGAATATCTCAAACATCTGACCTCCCACCATGTGCTGGCAAGCAGCCTCTTAGGTTGGACATATATATGGGGGAGAAAAACTGGGGAAAAGCCTTTTTGTATCCCACACACCCTTCCTGCAACGAGCAGCCGACTTTCTACAAGAGAGATGAACACTGTGGCCGCAACAATGGGTGCAAACATCCTGATTGTAGGGATGACTCAGGACCAGACAGCGTTTTGTTCTGTGGCACGCGGGTCAGCCTGAGTCAGAGCTGACACCCCAGCAGCGAGCAACAGGAACAACGGAAGGGCTTCCTCTTAAAGGAGTACGCAGACACGAGAGTGGTTCGCCAGTGTGACCACCATCTCAAATACTAAAGAAGGGCTACTGTGGTCACCTGTGCCTTATGCTCCAGCCCAAGACTCACTCTCCGTAACCCACACAGCCCATTAAGTGGGGGACCTGGGCTCCGCACAGTTCCTGATGGCCCCCATTGTTCTCTTTGTGGCAGTGTAGTACACAACCTTCCCCTCAGGATGCAGTGTGAGTTCCAGTGAGCTCCAGATTGCGCTGGTAGCTCACTTCTGTTTAGCATAGGCACTTCTCATTGTACCATTAGCCCACAGTTATAGTCCATGAACATGGCATTGGTGGTCCAATTTTGCTAATGAGGTGGACACTCCGCCCTTGTTCCACTCTCCTGCTTCCACCTCCTGCAGCCTGGCTGATAGGAGAGCCAGAGTCCTGTTTGCTGCAGACAAGAGGATGGGCAACCCTTGCCCCAATGATGCAGAAGGTGGCGTGATGTTGGGCAACATCAAGTACAGGACATTGTGTAGGGTGCTGCCCGGCACAGAACTTGGTCAGCAAAGCCAAGCCCTAGTGAGTATAGATAGTGCCCACTGTTCCAACAGCCTTGACCCTACAGCTCCAACTCCATACCCCAACAATGTCTGGCAGCGCAACCCTGGAGGACTCTTAGGGCAGAGGAAGGACCTTTCGTTCCTCAATCTCGCCTCTCCTAGGCCCAGCCCAGGGACTTTACCTAGAGCTCCTCCCTCAGCCTCATATTCAGCTTCTTCCTTAATCCCTCACAGGCTCACTACTGCTGCTTGAAACTCCAGAGGAATCCACATGCTTCCTCCCCTTCCCCATCCCTTCTCCCTCTGTGACCGCACAGGACGCCTGAGTGAGCGCTTCCTCCTGCAGCCACCTGTTCCGAAGGAAAAGCAGAGCTGTTGCGGCCCGTGCCTCGGCCTCTCACGTGCTGAGCCCCGTGGAATACCTGGTTCCCACAGAGCTTTCTTCGTGCCCTTCCTTCCTGCCCCTTATTAGAAACCCTGGTGGCATAACCTCAAGGTTGGCAGTTCAAAACTGTCAGCCACTCCAAGTGACAAAGGCGGGACTTGGCAGTCTCAGAGACGCCCAGGGGCAGTTCTAGCCCATCCTATAGGGTTGCAATGTGTCGGCATAGATTCGATGGCAATGAGCATGTTTTTTGGTTTCCTGTCCCCTACCGAGCGGGATTCTGTTCCTCATTAGATTCTAGTTCATTTCATGTCTTCTAAGCAGTCCACAGGAGCCCTGGGAGTGAAGCATAGGGCTGCCAACCCCACAGTCAGCAGTCTGCCGCTGCCCGGATTGAGAGCCTCGGAAAGCCTGCGGGGCAGTTCTCTGTCCTGGCAGGTCACTGTTCACCCAACAGCAATGGGGTCTGCTGGGTTGACACCGGTTGATTCTGGGGACCTTGTCCCAGTCATGCAGGAGTCATAAGGGCATCCATGGGCTCAAACCTAAGAACAATTGTGAGGTTGGCACAGGACCAAGCACTTTTCCACTGCTGTTCATACGGTTGCTACGGCTCAGCACCGGCTCAAGGACCCCTAGCAACAACAAGGGTACTCATCGAAGCGTTCTGACATTTGTCCTCCGAGCAACCTGTGGGCACAGGTATCCTCAGCCCCATTCCACGTATGAGCAAACTCAGCTTCGGCATCTGTAACTTACCCCCCTCCACCCGGCTAATAAGATGCTGAACCCCAGCTCGGATTCAGACCCGCTCGCGTGCTCCCGCAGCCCCAGCCACCACTCTCGTCACGCAGCACGTGTGCGTGTTTGCACAGGTGTTCTTTTGAGTTTTGCATCTTCGTGTTCTTGTCAGCTGCGCTGGCAGCCAAGTGTTGACGAAGTCTCCCCTGTGGGATTGGGAGCTTCCAGAAGGGAGGGGTGGGGCCATCCTGTCTCCTGTAGCCTCTAGGAAGCCAGGAGAGGGTCCGGCCAACATTGTAACACGGTGGCGGGAGCTGGCACAAGGGACATGCTCTCTGTCAGCCTCAGGCGCATTGCCGGCCTCGTGGATGGAGGGTGGGAGTGACAGAAGGGCCACAATATTAGCCAGCAGCAGCTGCCATTTATTAGGCACTTAGCGAGTGCTAGGCATTGTGCTCGGTCCTTATGTACACTGCTCGGTCCCTCCTTTCCAAGGCAGGCTTCTCATTCGAAAAGGAGGAAAGGAGCACTCAGCGACGTGGAGCCAGGGTGCAACCCACGTCCGTCTGGCTCCAAAGGAGCACATAAATAATTGAATTCCATTTATACTTAAAAAATATACATTCATATCCCTTATTCCCTGAAGGCCCAGCCTGCCCTTGATGCTTCCTTTCCCAGAAGAAAAAAAGAGATTCAGGGAGGAGAAAGCAGAGCAGGATGTGCCTCACATATAAACACACATGCACACACACACACACACACACACACACACACACACACACACACACTACCCTGGCTTCCCAAGCCAGGATAAGGGCCACGAAGGGTGGAGTCATTCCCCCAGGACCCTAATGCTTAACCCCTTCCCTGCTACTAAATAAAGTGAATAAATACTAAATAAATACAACCGGGGCCCACCCTGCCTGCTCCCTCCCTCCTGTGACCAGCAGGGCAGAGGGGCAGTTGAGATAGGGGACTGACTCCCAGACCCCTTGGATCCACCAAGCTACCACTGCCTCCCAGGGCAGGACTCAAGGGCAGGGCCAGCCTGCACTTTGGGGTAGAGAGGACGGGTGGGTCTCACTCCACAGACACCCCACCACCACCACCACCACCACACTGTATCTGAACACGAGGCAGCTGAAGGAGCCCCTCTTTCATCCAGCCAAGTCTGAGGCCCCGGTGCCCGGAAAGAGCAACCGGGCCGGTGAGGTTATTTCCTGCCTGCCCAGGAACGCCTCCGTAGGATTTCCAGGATCTGGGCCTTGCGGTGCAGCCAGTCCTGGGGAGTGGAGCGGGCCGTGGGAGGGGCGGGCCGGGGCACGAAGAAGCTGTACCGGAGGCGTACGTTTTGGGGGTTGCCAGCCACCAGGGCCTGCAGCGTCACAGGCTGGGCCAGGGGCCCATGGCCTGCAAGAGTCTCGGCAGCTGCAGTGGCCCCACTGTAGCGCAGGCTGACTCCTCCGGGCAGCATCACATCCGTGGGGGAGGGCATCAGTGTGTATTCGCCATTGAGGGCATAGGAGCCATCGGGGAGCTTCAGGGCCAGGTAGATACTCCGGAGGCCAGGGGGCCCCTGCTGCCGGATGAGGATGTGGGTGGCCCCCGCAGGGATAGTGACCACACTGTTGTAGCCGTACCTGTGTGGACAGGAGAACACCGGGGGGAGCCCCTCAGCACCTTCTGGAAGCCCCTCAGGCTTTAGGAGCTGTGGCTTCAACAAGTCTGCGGGGAAATTCCATTATCTTTCTGCCTCATTTTCCATGAACTTTCTGGAGGCTCCTCATAGATGTATGTCTAGAGGGTTCTCTCCCCAAACCTGTCTGAGAATACCAGCCAGATCTGAGCTGCATGCAAATGTGTCCCCTCCCTCTTATCTCTGGACCATTATACTTACTGTCCACTTGTGTCCTTCCCACTCCACCCCACTGCTTGGTGCCAGTCCAGTTTCTCCTCTCCTTTCAAGACTCAGCTCAGCTCTCCTCCTGGGGACACCGTCCCTGATTCCCCCCAAGGGCCCTGGAAGTCCTCTGAGCTGATGCCCTTGGACGCGTGGGGCACTGAGCTGTCACCGCTAACCAGAAGCTCTTGGATAGTCAAAACAGTGTGGCGTTCCCCTCGGTCTTGCAGGGCCCAGAGCAGTGTCCGGGGCAGTAAGGGCAAGGAGAAACGGCCAACGCACCGGAACTTTTTGAAGGAGCCGGATTGCTTGCTGCAGCTGGAGCCGTCCCCGCCGCACACCATGCACTTGTCGAACTTCTTTTTGGATCCGATGACGCGGTCGCAGCCGGCATGGATGCAGCGGCCCTGGACGCAGACCGAGGAGCTGTCTGGGGAACAGGGCGTCCCGTCCACCACCTGAGGAGAGAAAGGGTGGTGTAAAGGTGAGCCAAATAAGACCCACCCTCATCAGGGGAGGGGTGCCAGAGAAGGGGTTGGGTGCTGGGAGATGGGGCTAGTGTGTGTGGGCGGGGCGGGGGGGGGGCCCTCCTAGCCACCAGATGGGATGGCCCTTGTAATGAGGATATGAATGAATGGTAAAAGCCACCCTTTTAATTCAGAGGGCTCACTGTGAATAGGGCACTGTTCTAAGTAAGTGCTTTGTCAATGTGACCATAAACCTCACTCCCACCACAGGAGGTTTCTAACGATGGGACTCTGGTTTCTGAGAAGCTGAGGAACTTGTCCAAATGTCCCGCAGCCGGCAAGTCAAGGTGGGTAGGTACTGCAGGACTGCGGACAACACCACACCCTAAATCTTGATGGTTCTCAGATGGACACTAGAGGGCAGCCAACCAGTAGGAATGCTCCCCAGAGGCAGGGGAGTATATGATGGGGTGAGGGGGCAGTAGAGGGGATGGGGCCCGAGGGGACAGCCTCTGTTAGCGCTTGTTCCTTCTTCAGGCCTTAACCTGTTACAGTGACATCACCTGCCTTTCTAGTGCGAGCCTGACTGAGGCCACCATTGTAGCTTGACAGAGGGTGTCCACAGGGAGAAGCAAAGACCTGCCCCAAAGGCCACACACCCCAGTTCTCGTGGAGAGTGTTGGAAGACAGGGAGAGAGATGTGACAGCGGCTGCCGAAGCCGGTTGGACCCTAGGCCAGAGTCTGGGACTGGCTTTCCCAATACCCAGGGACAGGCAAGTCTGCGTGGCCCCCTCGGCAGGCCTGGCACAGCAGTGAGAGCTGCTAGTACTGTGCTGCTTGGGAAGACCTTTGCCATCAGATAGTAGAGGGACTGTTGGCAGTGTGTGGGTACAGACAGGGCCTGGGGTGTCCTGGTCCTCACCCGGGGCTCCAGCACGTAGTAGTAGCCCAGCGCCCGGGCCTGGCAGGTGAGCTTGCACTGGTCCCGGGGAGCCACCCCCGTGTAGCGAGGCACCCAGTCCATAGGCCCTGGAAAGCTCTTGAAGAGGTCTGTGCGGTGGTTGTAGGCAGCACACTGCTCCTCGCGGAAGGTCAGGGCTTTAGAGGTAAAATGCACAGTCAGGGCCTCCCCCTCCTCACAGGCTCCAGGACTTCTCCACCGGCCTGCTGTGCCTCCCACCACACTGCACCTCTCCCTCCAGGGCAGAGCAGGTGCTGATGGTCAAGTCACTGCCTACCAACAGCAATCCCAGTGCACCCCGGGGCAGTCCCTCCCGCCCTGCTGGCCACTCTCGCTCCTCACCTGACCCAGCTGGGCAGGCCTGGCTGCTGCAGGAGCGGAAACGGGTGCGGCGGCCCTCGCAGTACTTGCCACCGTTGCGGGGGACGGGTCGTGTGCAGTCCCGGGAGGAGAACTGAACGCCACCTCCACAGCTCCGAGAGCAGTCGCCCCACGGTCCCCAGGGGCCCCAGCCACCGGCCTGTGGGATCTGCAGTGGCATGGAGTAGGAGGTGGGATAAGCACAGCTGTCCCAGGCTCAGGGACAGTCCCACCCGAGGCCCCACCCCTGTCCCTCCCTGACCCGGGATCTCACATTAAAGTCCTGGAGCTGGTCCACGTGGAGGCAGCGGCCACCCATGCAGGCCTGAGCTGGCCCACAGGGGGTGCCATCAGCCCAGGGCGAGTGCTTCGTCTGACACATGGCGTGGCCGTTCAGGTGGCCAGAGCACCAGAGGGCAGCACAGGGCGGCGGCAGCTGCGGGCAGTGGCGTGAGTCGGGCCCGAAGGTCAGCTGGCACTGGCGGTCAGCGTCATAGTCCTTGCCAGGGAAAGTCGCGGGCAGATGCAGGGGAGCTTCTGGCTTGTCTAAGAGACAGTGTCCTGGGAAAGGGGATTGGGGCACACGGTCAGCAAGGGTTGGGGCTGAGAAGGGGGCAGTCTAGATTGTCAACTGGAATTGCCTGGGGCCAAATGAACCCTAGAATACAAATCCTTGGGCTGGAAGGGGCTTTCGATTAACAGTAGCAAATTATGAGGTGCTTATTATGTGATAAGGCTCGACTGTGTGTCCACAGAGCTCCCTTTTAATCCTGGCAGACATCTGTGAGGTGGTTGCAATTGCAGTCCCTGCTGCAGAGACCGGCTATGAGCACAGAGAGGCTGAGTAACTTCCTCACAGTCACACAGCTCAAGAGCACAATCTTGAAAGGAACCTCGGAACACTACGTCTTCTTCTCTGGCTGCAGAGCTCTGAGCTGGCCTCTCAGCAGTAGCCCTGCCTGACAATAGCACCCACCCTCTCACCCCAGCTCCTTAGCAGCCAGCCCATTCCAGCATGGGCTCGTCCTGTGCCTCACCGTCAGCTCTGATTCTGCTGAGCCAGACCTGTTCGCCTCCCCTGGCTTTTATTATAGAAGCCCTGGTAGTGGGAGAAGGATGAGGCTTTCTACCCCGAGAGTCACAGTCCCAGAGCCTCACAGGGCAGTTCTACCCTGGGCTGTACGGGTGCTGTGAGTCGGCATCCTCTCCCTTGATGGCAGTGGGTTCGGTTTGGGGCTTTGCTATTGATCAAGGGAGAAAGGGGGCCGGCCTAGAGGCTGCAGCGTCTCTACCCCAGAAGGAGCATGCTCAGAGAAGACTGCCTGTAGCCCCTGTGGATGCTGTCGAAGTGAGGGTGTCGTGCAAGGGGAGGGCCATGTGCTTACCATAACCATTGTCCAGGAAGTCGGTGATGAAGCGGGCACTGCAGGGGGACCAGGGCTCCTCGGGGTCCACGTGAGCCATCACGGGGGCCATCACATGGCGGGAGGTGCTCCCGGGCCCGTTCAGACCAACACATGGCTTCGAGTTGTCATGGAGCATGTTGAAGACGTGGCCTGTGAGGACAGAGACCACGCTAGGCTCCACGGATCCCTTCCTGTGGAATTGCCCTGGCCCAGGCTGCAGCCCAAGCCCCGCCCAAAGCCCTTTCTAGTGCTCAGAGCTCCTCACTCCTTGGATGGACAGAACACATCCCTGACTGCTATGTCCCCGCAAGTACATTCAGCCCCCTCCCTACTTTTCCTGGTAGTCCCTCCTTCTAACTGTGTGCTCTCCTACTCCTTTGCCGACTTGTGACTAAGAGTACAGACTGCTGATACATGCTTATCCACCCCAGGTTCCCCGGCCCCCCCTCGCCCTCTTTACCCAGCTCGTGAGCAGCAGTGAAGGCCGATTGGAGGCCATCATCCTCCACGATGGCACAGCTTCGAGCCGGGTCACACACAGTGCCCACATCCGCCATGCCCAGTGTGTCGCAAGTGGAGACCCCACACAGGTCCTGTGGAAAGAGACCGCAGGCAATGGGGGAGGGCTGAGGTCCACACTGGTGGGGGCTGCTGGGCCTCAGGCAGGGTGGCTCAGGCCTGGCCTGCGCAGCACAGCTCCCAGGACCCCGAGCCGGCCTGAGGTGCTGACCTGGGCGGGACTCACCTGCCGGGTAAACAGAATGGCCGTGTCAAAGTGGTCGGAGTCCGAGTCTTCAGGGGTGTTGAGGCCCCGCTGCCAGGTACAGAAGCTGCGGAGGGTCTGGGCAGCACTGGGGCCCACCTGGGGCCCCTCCTCGCCTGGCCCCAGGATCACTAGCCGGGTCACCACCAAGCTGACAGGGTTTCGGATACTTGGGTGCTTGAAGGCCTTGGCAGCTGCGGCCATCACCGTCAGCAGGTAGCGTTTTAGCCCTGCACCGTGGAACGCTACCATCTTGTCATCTGCCACCACCAGGGTCTCCACAAATCGACTCAGTGAAGCAAAGCGCTGGGGAGAGAAACGGGACAGGAGGACCCTGAGCTCGCTGGCTCGCTCACTCCCACACTTGAGGCTCCTGGGTGCCCTCCCTTGCTCCCTGGGCCGGGACTCTGCAGGCAGCTGGGCCCTGCACACCAGCCCACCAGCCCTGGATTCCTAGCTGCTCTCGATCGGGCCTTTCCTCCAATCCCCAGAGCCCATGGCTTTTGTGGCAATTCTGCAGAGTCAGCTGTGAGGTTCTGAGGAGGGGAGGAGAAGGGGGTGTGGTGTCCCAGGGTTGTGTAGAACCCAGAAGTGAAATGCTGCCAGCACTGCCTTAGGGGGCCCTGCTTTGGGGCTCCCCAAGCTTCGAGTGTGGCAGGGGCCTGTGGGTCTGGGATTGCAACGTGTCTGCCCTGTGTGGTCGCAGGAACAATTCAGTCAGCAGCTAGGGCCAGGGCCAGGTCTCAGCGTGGCGGGTGTGGACAGAGCCCAGGGAACAGCGTCTGGTCTGGATTAAAGTGGGAGGAGGGGGGCAGGAGGAAGAGAGGGAAGAAGGGGGGGAGGCAGGCAGAGTGGGAGGAAGGAAAGGATGGAGCCTAAGGCAGCCTCCAAGTCAGTCTTCAGTGTGGGCAGGGGATGGACCAGAAGCCACCGGGGGTGGCTTTCCACTCTTGCCCAGTCCTGCCCTAGTTTGTCATTTGCCAGGACAGTTCTGAAGCCAGAATCCACGGCCAGAGGCCAATCCCCCAGGGCTTCAAACACCACTGGCTTTAGCTGGAGGAGAGGGTGCAGGGCATGGAGGGAAGAGGGACGAGGGGGTGGAAACCAAATTAGGGACAGAAGAAAGAGCCAAGGCTGAGGGGCTAAGTGGAGTCTTACTGCTGGGGACTGTGCCAGTAGGGGATGCCCCAGCAGGGCGGGGCTGGGGAGCGGGCTCTGACCCACTTCTGGGAACCCTGGTGGGGAGTCAGTCTAGCCAGGAGAAGGGCTGGGAGGGGAGGGTGGCCAGAGTCTTTGTGTTCCTCAGCAGCCCCTGGCTTCCCTGCAGGAGCCAGGAGGGTGGAAGTGGGTGGGGAGGGTAAATAAGGGTCAGTAGGACAGACATGGCGGGAGGGCACCGCGGGACGCAAGGCTGCCTACCTTGGCTCTTCGAGGGCTGGGGCTGGGGCTCCCTGGGGGAGCCTTGACGTTGCACATGGGGCCTTGGCCGCTGGCAGGACGCTTTCGGCGTAGGACGTGAGCCCCAGGCCCCCCAGCAGAGTTCGGGGCTCCCCCGTCCAGGGGCTGGAGGTGGAGTTCCGAGCCTCGATACTGCAGCACGCCTAACAGGGCTCCCCCGTCCCAGTGCAGAGATGCCACGGACTCGGGGTCTCCGTTAATAGTTCCCGTCAGGTAGGTGCCCGGCTCGGCCCCGCCCAGCAGCTCGGGCTCCCGGCCCAAGTACTGCACGGTCAAGCCCTCCACGCGCACGCCGGGGTCCTGCTCCAGCTCCAGGAGCAGCACCTCCCCGAAGGCCGGCAAGCGGCACAGCAGCCGGGCCGGGGCGCCCGAGCCCGCGCCCGGCCAGAGGCTGCCGTTGAGCTGCTCAGGGAACACGATGATCTCCTCCTCCGGGGGGA